CCCACCCATAGAGCTATTAAACAGCTAGAGTGCTGACAAGATGATGCAACAATAGAGAAAACCCTCTCACAGTCAGTGCACTATTGCTATGAAATACTACTGTAGTTCCAGAGGTATAGTCCCACCTCAGGTATAATCCCACCCCCGACTTTACGCCCAACTAACTTCACCTGCAAGAATTTCCCCGGGTAAATTCCCAGAAAATTGTGTGAGTAGGCCTAGGCCTAGGTCAGTAAATTTAACAAATGCTCACAAAAAATAAAGAAACTGCCTCTGAATTCTGCCAACTTGAAATTTTTTTAATTGCTTAGAACAGACACATGAAGTTGAACACAAAGCCCATCCTTGTAAATTCTTTTGTTGTTTACTGTCGCTAAAATAAAAACAGCTCGCTATATGCGGCTAAAAATAGACAACACAACGGTTCTTCCCTACATAGACTCGCCCAATGGGATGATCAGATCATTAATTCACAGGGGATTCACAGCGTAAAGACTCACATGTTCCACAGCTGCAGCTAAAAATAGACAATACAGCGGTTCGTCCCTAAAGAGACCCACCCAGTTGGCTGATTGGATTGTTAATTCACAGCGTGAGGTGGAGTGGGATTACACCTGGGGAGCTACGGACTAATATCCCATTCATCACATTGGTAAGTAGTGGATAATTCCTACAATGTAAATTTTTTTTTTTGAAATTCTAAAATTAGGGAACTCCCGATTTTTTGGTGTTTTGACATTCGAAATCGGGACGATCGATCCCGGTTAAATCGGGACAGTTGGCAGGTATGATATTTTTGACAAATGTTAAACAATACAATCAAAACTGAAGATACAATTTTGAGATACCATGTCTGAATGGCATAGGGCAATCAACTTTATATATATTATAATGCAATCAATATAGAGCATATTAAGACCCATCACTGTCTCTTATACACATCTAGATGTGTATAAGAGACAGCATTGGAATATCAAAAATAGGGACGCCCCAACCCAGTGTTCGAAATAAGGAAATAAGTTGTCTGGCGGTCAACCTAGATGGAAACTTTGGTTGTCCGCAAATGTTTTTATTTGTCCGTATATATTATCTGTTGCTTGCTTCATTTTTACCTTGCACTGTTTTCCCTTCTAAGATCGTTCGACGTGACAAAAAGTTCAATGAAAAGTTTGAACGCCTTCCCACGCGCGCCTCCATTCGCCTTGATACGCGAGTCAGTGCCTTGTTGTGCGGCCCACCCATAGAGCTATTAAACAGCTAGAGTGCTGACAAGATGATGCAACAATAGAGAAAACCCTCTCACAGTCAGTGCACTATTGCTATGAAATACTACCGTAGTTCCCGAGGTATAGTCCCACCTCAGGTATAATCCCACCCGCAACTTTTCGCCTGCAGGAATTTCCCCGGGTAAGAAACAAGATGTTTTTTAGCTGCACACATAGCGACTTTAATTAATTAACCACACACACTTAGGGACGTTAATTAATTATGCCACAAGAAATCACTGTTGGCAAGAAATTTGTCCACCTGGGATCTACAGTATACGGCAGAATTCCAGTTGGGATTTGCTTCATTCTTACATATCTCTCTTTTTGTACAAAGTAATCATTTAGAAAAAAATGACAGATAAAGCAATGACATATGTTTCTATACAAGTATATACTGTATAATTGGTTTTAAAAAAAAGTTTTAAGGATAATATTTTCAGTCCTACACCTTTTATCAGCTTAACTATAGCTGAACCAAAATAAAATAATATACTGCAAGAGCAAACAATAAGAAATAAAACATGTAATAACATCTACATATTCACCTGTGTAGTACTGTACAAATGAGTGAAGCCAATTCGATTGTAGTCCACCTTAAACTGGAACACTCCATAAACATCAGGAAGCTTAAATTTAGTAGAGAATCTTCCATCTGAAAGAAAAAAAAAAAAACTACAATATAACTGAAATGCAAAGATTGAATGAAAACCAAGACAAAGTTTGCAAGGCGAATATATAAATATAAATCCTGGTATATTGGAAGTTGATATTTAAAAAGATCTGTTGATCTTGCTTATCCGATCAACCCCTAGGCCCGCATTGGACGACTGTAATTAATTATGCGATTAATTAACAATAATTATTTTAAAATCGTATGCGCGGTTTAGTGTGCATGTAAAGTTAAAAGAATGTGAGAAAATATCAAAAGACGTTTATAAAAAATATTCCTTCTTCCATTTATAATTAATTTCTAAGTTTAGGGTAATTAGCAATTTGTAATTTGATCGTTGTTTTTGTAACATGATCGCCTTGATCGAGGCGTCGGCGTCAATACTGGTGGTGAATAAAATCACCTATAAACACACTTTATTTTCAGAAAATAACTATTCTGACACTTTCATACTATAAATATATTTTCAAAATACTGTACCAGATTTGGTTATTATATCGACATATTTCCGCGTAAAATTGATTTTTTTGTGGCTGAAAGCAAAGCATGGGCCATCATTTATGCTTGACGCCATCTTGTGTGTTTACAAAAATGAAAATGAACCCTCAACATGATCGTTGAACTTTTCAACTTTCTGTTTTTCAGTGACCTGCGCCCTCTACACGTTGAGACAGATGAAAAAATAAAGAAAAATTTTGATACCAAATCATCCTATATCATCGAAATTTTTCGTATTTTTTCATTTTTTTTTTAAACACACAATACGCAATTTTCGCACGACCTTGGAAGACTAGGCAGAAAATTATAAATTATGGATTTTACCTTGCGAGGTAGGTTAGGCTATTCACGGTACAGTGCGTAGTGGGGAATGGGTGACTAAACGCGGCGAGGCGCCTAGGGCCCCTTCGATGTAAAATTTTATATTATTTTTATCTTCCAAAGTTCTTCGTCAATAAATTCAATTTTAGATTTATTTTGTAAAGGAATAATTTGTGCTGATGTGGAGATGTGTTTGTATTCTGACTACTGACTCAGGATTCAATAATTTATTTTTAAAATTATTCATCAAAAAATATTTATAAAATAAAACAATAATTGGAAATAATTTATTTTTAAAATTTTTTTCATAATTTCACAATACTAAATAATAAGTTATTTAGAAGTATGTTTTTATTATCTTTTACACTTCACTCTTATCACCTTAGCTATAGGCCTATAACTCTACTTATTACATACTTTTGCTTTTAAGTGATGTGCGGACAAATGGGTCAATACGGACAAATTCCAGTTGTACATCATTAGAATCAAATGGTTTCCACTGTCCGGCCACAAGCTGTTCAATTAGTATACTGTATTCCTAAAAAAAAATTAAAAAAAAAAATCATTATTTTACAAATTAATTTTTTTTTTCTCTATCACTTAAATTAAAAAAAAAAAACATTTAAACTGCAAACAGGAACAGTTAGAGGCCTAGGAGGATTACACTCCAAAATACAGACAAAAAGATTTCTAAATTGTCAAAATTTGTAATTTAGGGAGTTAAAATTCTTCATCAGAGTTCGGTGGTAAGCTTGACTATTTTAATACTTTGAAATTCATGCATATTTGAGAAATCAGCCTTCAAAGTTTATGATTTCAGGCATTTCTCAGGCAGAAACCATCACTAAATCCTTAAAAATTGTTGTTTTAACATTGAAAATGGAGAAAATAACATATATAAAGGTGAAATAAAATAGATTTCAAAAATGTTGACATCCCAGGATGTTTTGGTCATAATCTCTGAAAAAGGATTTGCGACGAGTGACTGGTTTGGTTTGTCTTCGCCATATGTATCGATTATAAACTTAAGGACAACACTCCCAGCTACTGAAAGGTCATCCCCTGCCTTAGCTTTTGACCATGCTTGAGGCTCTAACAATCAATATTCATATTATAAAGAAAGGTTATTTGGATTATTATTTAGAAAAGATTGTCCGTAATGATGTATCGCCAGAAGAAGATTGTTACTTGTGCAGTATAATGTTTCAAAGGCCAGTTTTCAAGCTTAAAAATAAAAGCAATTTAAAGCCTAAGTAACATGAATTTTAGACCCTGAAATTGAGCAAAAGGTCTACTGACATAGTACCAGCAGTATAAAAAAATAAATAAATAAAAAAAAAAATAACGAAAACGGACTGATTATAAGTTTCCAATTTCACTGTGCTTTGGTAAAACAATATTTTTTTTTTTGGCCTCATAAGCAAATGTATGCAAGCTATGAAATAGAAAGGCCTTACCACATGATCTTCAATGGTGTAAGCAGCTGGGGGTGTCTTTTGTCCGACAATATGATGGCTAACACCGGTGACACGAAGTACGCCCTTCTCCTTGAACACCCATTGAGAGAGAGCATATGCAAGGTCTTGGTTACCAGACTTAGCAAATCTATGTGAAAAAAAAAACAAACAAATAGTGTAACTAAAAATCTGCCGATATTATTGTCTAGGGATAACGATTTTAAAGAGAGCATTATATCTTAGTCAGCTAAATTTGTGGTAGCCACTGTGTTTGGCAATCATGGAGATCACTGGATCCCTGATTCAATCAAGTTCATAGTCCCTCTGTGCAACATGGCCCATGTGCAAGAATGTTCAGGTAGTATACTCTTCAGCAAAGAGCAAGAGATTGCTCTTACACTACAACACTAAAAAGACCCACTAGAAAAAGTTTTCGGACTTAAAACCAACTCTGCAACCATTAGTTAGTTTTTGCCGTACGATGTTAACCTTAACTTTAACATTAGTACCCAACTTGCAACACGATAACTCTGCCCCGTTTGTAAACAAATAAAAAATATGCATGCGCAAACCTGTAACTAACGTCCGTCAAGCACGTAAAATCATGAATTTAACGTACTCCACAACGCAAGATGAATATATTATGACGTCATCTGTTAACGTTAAGGTTAACGTCGTGCAGCTAAAACTCCCTAATAATACACTGTAAAACCTTATTTTTGCGATTTTGCAATTTGAAATATTTTTCAGCTTTTTAAAGTACAATAGCTTAATTTTTGTGACCATCGTTTTATCCAGAAAATTAAGGGTTACGAAAATAAGGGGCTTTACAGTATTGAAATTCATGCAGAATAAAGATGAATCCCTGAATTGAATATCTGTATAAATTTTAAATGAAAAAAGAAAAGTGCATAATTTGCTTACTATTAATGCAATAATTAGACTTATGTATTCAATCATAAATATACATACACTTATCATCCTATGATTAAGATGAAAATTAAAAAGCACTATGGAATTGCTCTGTACCTTTCAGAGCCTGCAACGGCCTTTTGAACGGCAGACTGGAAGTAAGCATCGCTGAAAAACTCCAAGGAACCAGAGAAAACAACGCGAGCATTGTTGCGGGCCTGGAGGGCAGTGATGAACTGTGTGTTCTTACCAACAGCGTGTGGATAATCGACGATGTCATCAGAAGGATTGTGGGAGTATGAGGAAGAAGTACCGTGTAAGATATCCATTACCAGGGGGTTCTCCGGGTCGGCAGTCATTCTAAAATTATGAAAATACATAGTGTTAATAAATAGATATATTTTACTTTCTTCAAAATTAGTGTTCTTTAATGTCTTATACAAGTTCACCCTCCAATTTGGGACCACGTTTGGGCACTAATTGGAGGGTGAACTTGGAGGGTGGTCTAGGGATTCGGTCTCCTGTTAGCATAGTATTTTGTGGAAATACAACCTTTCAATTTAATATTACTACTGTATACTTACCCAACACCCTTGAATAAAATCGGATTTAATTTCTTATCTCTTACAATGGTTTTAGATTCTATGATGTTCGAGGGATCAGCTACGATCAATGTATGCTACAAAAAGATAAAAACAAAATATATTAAACTACTGATATTTATATTTCACTTTATTCAAATTCAAGTACAAGTTCCTCGTTTGTAACAATTCGTGGCCAATGGCCAAATTGCAAGTTACAATTACACGAGAGAATGGCAATAAAACATATAAAAAATTACATTGAAATGGAAGATAATTATTGTCATAATAAAATTATTATTATAAGAATTGACATTAACAATGAAAATTAATATGATAAAACTTTAACTTAAAAAGGAAGATTACTATTATCATTTTCGTTCTTAAGCCTAGTTTTATAAAATTGCTACATATTGAAACTGCTCTCGAGACAACATGGAACACTTCCTAATTTGTCATCGATGCCATCAGCAAAGCTGAACCAGTTTTACTTTTCAGACTTGTTGGCAATGTACCATATTGCCAAATACATATGAGGTGAGCTGGCCAATATAAACATATTTTTTCCAATTTTATCTGCATATTCTGAAGCAGTTTAAGTTCAATCAGTGACACACCTAAAGCTAGGAATAGTGAGCTTTCGATTTGCACGATGACGCGACACTAGAACAGAACCACTCATGCATGACCGTCCAACAGGGCATCCTACGTACTCTTCATATATAGATTTGGCCGAATTGTGTCCTAAAATCCACGTAACGGGTAGAACTTAACGTTCTCGCATGCGCAGATGTCATTCAGTCACGCAATCGAAAGCTCCCTACTTTCAATTTCATATACTCACCATGCCTTCATCTTTGACGTCAAAGTTAAGGTGATCTATTACAGCTGTGTTTTCCTCATCAAATTCAACACCACAATTACTTCCAATTTCCCTTATAGGGTCACCTGTAACCAAAGGATTTAAATATAAACCTATTCAATTTATTAAACACAAATATATATATTTTTTTCTTGATAGAAAACGAGATACTGACCAAAATGAACAGCCCCAAAATATAGAAATTATGTATTTTTCCTCACAATAACCATACCGGTACTGTAAGGCATTTATCAATCCCTAAGACGAGACTTAATACCTTGTTTTGCAAACCCGCTGCCCGCCAAAAATGATCATTTCATTTTTTATTTTTGGCCAATTAGCGCACTTTCCACCACAAAAAATTTCAGAAATTTCGTTATTTTTTCACACCTGCCGCTGTGTTGAAATCTCCAAAAATTAGATATGTATATTTCTTTCTACTTATATAAATTTAAAGCATTTAACCTTTCCAATACTCCGATGTTTACAATCATTTTATAACATTATATTTTTTCCTCCATCTGGAAATTTTTGGCAAAACTATTTGCTAAATAAGAAAACAACAGTTTATTTTTATTTTTTTTTCCTGCAATTCTCTGATGACCTTTAAAAAAAATAACTTTATGAAACAAAGATTTTAAAAAGTCTCGCCTAAACGGGGTACATCACAACACACAATGCAATATAATACTGTATACCCTTATTTCAAGCAATGTAAATCATCCAATATAAAATTTTCAACTCAAGAATTTCAAAAAAAGGAGGAAATGGAAGTTAGAAACATACTACCATATCACAATCGTATATCCTTTACTGTTATATTACGTTTACTGCACTTGTACTCACCTATACTATAAAAAGGAAACATATCTCTCATGCATGTATTAAAATCTTATAGCCTTCATTGCTTTTTGAAAGTTTACTGTCCTTGCACTCACCTATACTTGAACCTGCAGCTACTAAAACATTACCACCACCATCAATGAAATCTAAAACTGTATCTTCTCCAATGTTGCCTCCAAATTCTTAAAAGTTAATTATAAAAACATCTTTAAAACAAACTTCTTGGTTTACAGCTGACATTAAATGTGCTATACAACAAAGAAAAAAATACACTTTCGAACATATGAATTAAATAACCTTTGGAAGAATGGATTTTAGCAAAACTGATGTCACCCTTGCAAATTACTCAACTGCTCTTGAAAACTGGTTGACAAATGTGAGTCATTATTGTGATGCGACACTCAATGAGGTGACCAAAACAACGAAAGAAATGCCAGTTGCTCTCAGTTGCATTAACGTTCATTTTGCTGCGCTACAATGTAGATTACAAACAATTGAAATTTATCGTGGAACATTAGTGACCCAGCTACTCAAGTTTGTTAATGTCGTATGAAATTATGGTAGCATTGCATAGCAATGAGTTGGAGAGTATCTACAGTAGGAAATCACAAATGCACTCAGAGCAACTAAAGTTGTCCCAACACTCCTTCACTTTTAAAACTCCATCTCCCACACATAACAAACTGTCATTACAAAAAAACTCCTTTGTGCCAAATTCATTCTCATTTTTACACTCAAATTTTTAACAAGATAAGTGAATCATTTTTTAATAATATTCTGAAAGCTATTTTTATAATCGATTTCCGTTGTTAGATATCATTTTAAAACATTTCAAGAATTGCCATGTATGGCAACCTTCTCTGTACTTCCAAAGAAAATTTTCTTGTATCATGTAGTTGCTTGCATCATGAATGGTTGCGTGATTGTAGTTGCTATCAAGTTGTGTTGCTTTGAGTTGAATCGAGTCAGAAATGGCAATATTAGCTTACCAACAATTTCAATACTTCATATAATGCATTTCTTACAATTAATTCTATAAATTGTAATTTTTGGTGTTATCTTATTGTCATACAATTAAAAAAAAAAAATTAAAAAAAATTATGCCTACAGGTACTTGAATTTATTCTTTGTAAATAAAGTTTTACTATAATATGATCTCTAAACATATTATTGCTGTGGTATGAATCTTCAGTACCAGAAAAACAAATATTCTGTAAAAAAAAAAAAACAAAGTACTGTACTTACCCTCAACTGAGGGGCAAAATAGAATAAGATGTTCATAAAGGTACTCTCCATAGCTTGTGAGTTTTAAGTTTGAATCGTCAGCACTTTTATAACTCAGTTCATAACCTCTATCTGTAAAGCAATAAAAAAACTTCGTTACCAATTATTAATAAATTAGGCTTTGACTACTGTATATAGCGTGCATGTACATGTCATAGCAACACATTGTCTGGGCTGGTGATTTACTAATGATTACTTACAACTAAATTATTTGCATTTTACAATACAAAAACTTCGATTTATAGAGTCTAAAAAATATGTTATAGAAAAAATTGTTTTGATTAATACATTTTTTTATATAGCTTTATAGTATTACTGTAGGAACTCTGAATAATGTGATACAGGGACTGCTAGTCACAGGCCTGGAAAAAAATATTTTTTCACCTCCGACCATGAAAATTATCTTGATCAAATGCCCTCAGGACCAAATTTTTTCTTTACACTATTATAGCGAAACAGTATTACATTTAGTGGTTTGAAGCAAGCATTAATATAAAATTCAATTACGAGTATGCATAAAATTGTGATGTGTAACAAATGTTTGGGGTGTTTTTTTTTGTTTTTAAATAAAAAAAAAAAAAAAATTATTTTTTAAAAATGCCTCCAGGGCAATGGTCAATGCCTCTGACCGCTGGTCGCGCAACTTTTTCAGCCCTGGCTAGTCAATACGAATGGATGCTGCTTTGAGGGAATGATAATCCGGATGCGGATGTCAGTTTGAGCAGTTGCGTTTAGTGCAAACTAAAATAAGGGTAAATTTATGTGGTAGGGGTAGGTTGACTAGCTTTTTTTTTTTTCAGGGACCTTATTTTCTTTTTGGGGGGGGGGGGTTGGGAGAGGGTTGGTAGAGGTGGGGTGATCTCATTTTTTTAAACAATTTTTGTAAAAAAACCTTTAATAGCATGATGGTGACTTACATTGAGGTACATTTTATTCAACCTTATAGTAATGCATACATTGCAGCACATGGCTGAATTGTGTATGAATTAACAATAGTTAAAAATATAATATAATAAACAGCATATAAATTGATAAAAAAAAAAATACAGAATGACATCAAAAATTGAAAAAAAAAGAGAAAAATCGGTCAAAAGCAAATCATGTACTGTACATCAAAATGTTAGACTTAAACCTAGCCTAGGCCCAAAATTAATAGGTCTACTTTTATTCATTATAAAAGTCTATTACGATTAATTGCGCAAACTTTTTTCCTTTGGCCTTGTCCTGTTTTAATTTCCATTTGTCAACTTATCAATCAAATCAATGATTGTTCAATTTAATAATAATAATTCTAGCTGAGATCATAATTGCCTAGAGGCAGGTTAGCCTGATATAGCGGCCCAGCAGCAGGCTACTACGGCGAGGGTCAGGCCTACGCTAGGCCTGATGAAACTATCAGACTAATTCTTATTTTAGTATTTATTTAGGCCTGGTAGTGGTAAATCCTTAATAAATGCCATTTTTATTCTTATTGTAGCTACCTACTGCATCCCACACACACATAGCCTATCTTTTGGGTCCTACTAAATACCACATGGAACACACGGGACCACACGGCTGCAAAAATGATAAAAATATAACCACACCAGAGTAGAAAACTACTTAATAATCAATAGAAACCAACTTTTAGAACGGTAATTATCCGAATTCCGTTAAAAATTCTGCTTAAAAAAAATTCATTTTTACCATATTTTGGACAATTACCATTATAAAAGTTGGTTTTTATTAATTATATAGGAGTTTTATACTCTCGTGTGGTAATTTTTTAATCATTTTTGCACCCATGTGGTCTTGAGTGGTCCCGTGTGTTCCGTGTGGTATTTTTTGTAGGACAGTATCTTTTAATTTTATCAATGGCATTGCAGATTTTCCGATCGCTTAAAACATTGGAATTGCTGTATATAGTATCTCCCAAAAAACTAGTCCCTATGTTGAATCGTAACCTCTAGTCCTAATAAGTTAATAGCAATATAAGCACATAAATTTAAATGTCACATTTTAATACAAAACTTGATGGAAGAAACTTTGCGCAGTTTGCATACTGCTCCCACAGTTTGAAACAGCTTTTTAAACAGCAGCAACCCAATTGAAAATGAGCAAAACAAAGAAAATGAACAAACGGTCAGTGCACAACACAAATAATATAAACTCAAAAACAACTCTGGCTTTGAATAAAAGCAACCCTTAAAAATAAACCATTCGTATAGAGACTTGCTGTGGTATTATGTTTGTTGTTCTATATGTCTAGGCCTAATCTGTATCCTACTTCTCGAGTCCCTACCAAAGCTTAAACGCCACGCACGGTGAAGCCGGTATGTATGATTTGGTGTCGGTGACGTTGCAGCAACAGGACGACCACTAGGCTAGCCTAGCAAGAGAGGGCTTCAACTTTTTTGCCTACCTTGTAATGATTTGAAGAATATGGAATGTGATTCTTTCAACGTCATAGAATCTAATAAAACTAGCGTTTTTCCACTGCCTTGGACAGTGGAAAGTAAGCCAAAAGCAGCTACTAATACTACCAAAACACCAACTGCCATGCTTCTTAGCTGGATTACAGGTTGTAGAGGTTGGATATCATTAATGTTGCGAGTGTGAACAGGCTCAAGACCTAGAAGTTGACAGACCTGGGTTGTTAGGCCTAGCTCTGTATTTGACTTGTATTTCGGACAATTAGTTAAGTCTAAGTTAATATATTTTAATTATGCAAATTTTAATGTCCGTAAATTTCATTTAATAACGTAGGCCTCATTATAAAGCTTCGTGACCTAGACCGCATATGGACTATTTTTCATGTATGCTGCAGCCTATTTTTAAGCCAATCACAGGTAGGCAACGTGGACCCATCCAATACCCAGAGAGTTGTAATTTTCTTTTTTCTTTTTTTAAATGTTTTGTGTATTCATGAGAGAATGTTAGTAAGTTTAATTATTATAACTAAGAAGTAAAGATCACAATCTGGTAATGCATGTACAAAAATAGAACGTGTAGCAGCTTTTGCTATTTATTTTAATTTTCAGGTACTGACTGAGTGAGAGAACTTACTTTTTTTCGATCCCGCATCTGTTTCCAGGTCAGTGGTCATAGGTCATGTATTGATTGCCGTTGTAAACAAGAGGGTTTTCCATGTTTATGAGAAAAGTCTGTTAACATTTTTTTACAAAGCTGAACAGCGTCATCAACCATGGGGTGTGATATCCCATGTGTTACTTATGTCGCCCTTTACATTCTTTCGTCTTCAATAATATCCACAAATACACGATCAGCCACTCACTGGAGATTGGTGAATCGGGATGGTGTAGCTCTTGTTGAGCCTGTTATCGACGAGGTGCCAACAATGAGTGTGAACAGTGAGGACCCAGTCTTGAGCATCTTAGCGCAAAAATATGGATTTGGTGAGGCGAGTGAACGGGCTGAATGTGTCTCCTGTGAAGAGAAACTAGGACTAGAGCGAAACAGGTACACAGTTTACTGTTATGATCAATTTTATACTATTAACTAGACCATGGAGGAAAAAAAGACCTAGGGCCATAGGCATGGCTTATTATGCCTCGCTAGGCTAGTAGTAGTAGTAGTAGGCCTAGGCCCTAGGGTAGGCCTAGGCCTGCCCCTAGAAGGCCTACTAACAGAGGACCCCACTAGGGTATATGCGGTAGCAGGTCAAAACGACAATAAACCAAAACGGCAATAACCAAAGCGGCAAAGAACCAAAACGGCAATGATAAGTACCAAAACGACAACAGAACAAAACGACAATGACAAGTACCAATATACGGCAATAGGCATAGATCAAAACAGCAAAAGAGCAAAATCAATGTCAAGACTAACCACATAATTTTCTGAATCGTTTTTAAATTGTCCAGACAAGCAAATTCGAATAATATTGCCATAGGCTCCTTTTTCAACTTTTAAATCGCTCGCAGGTTTTTTTTTTTTTAAATTTAATACACATTTATGACGAATTATAAAAGATGCTTCATTTTGTTTATATTTTAAAGTTTAATTTATATATTATTATTATTTTTATTATTATTATTATTATTTCATGTTTTTTACTTTTATGACATAAATTTTTTAGTCTATATTTGAAATTTTTATTTATTTAAATGTTTACTGTTTTTATATTCTGTTCCCCAATCTTTTAATTATTGAATTTGTATGTATTATTATAATTTTTATTATTATTATTATTGTTATTGTTATTATTATTATTATTATTATTATTATATTTTATTCTTATTATTTATTGTTGTTGTTGCTATTGTTGTTGGTGTTGCTTCTGCTGCTGTTGTTGCTGCTGCCGCCGTTGTCGTTCTTTTGCATGCTTAACTTCTATGAAAACTTAGCCTCATTTTTACCGTATTAATCGTCGTACACTTTCATGTTTATACATGGTTTATATTTTCACATTTTTACTTTTATGACATAAATTGTTTAGCCTCATTTTGTCTGTATTTGAAAGTTTTGGTCCATTGCCGTTCTGGTCAAAAAGTGTTGCCATTTTTGTTTTTTGCCGTTTTGGTCATTGCCGTTTTGACAAGAAAGCGTATATGCGTCAGTGTGCATCATCGATTTGCAAATATTGTAGGTGTTAATAAATATAAAATATTTATTTAATAAAAGTATATATCTGACTGGTAAATCATTTTAAAATTATATTAGGACATTTCACTAGGCCTACGGAAACATTTGGCATAATCCATCTGTGCAGATTTTGCCGAAAATTAGGCTTTGACATAACCTTATGTATAAACAATGTATTGTAATTACTATTCTGTGCACATTTTCTTAGTGATTTTCCACGCAAATATGAGCTGGTTTTTGAGGTACTGCATCATCCGTGCAATTAAAAAACTTTACTCATGGAATTATTTTATTTACAGTAATAATAAAATGTATTGGCCAATTATACCTTAAAGTAAAATTCATAAAAACAAAGTGAATCCGTCATTCAGGGGTCCAAATGTTGGTAAAAGTTAATTTCGGGAGCAGTGATGGCACCAATTGGGAGGGGGTGGCCGTGTCAGGGAGCTCCCTCCCCTCCACCCTCCCCGCCAAAAAAAAATCATATGTGCTGTATTTTCTACATAATAGTAGACTCTAAAATCAATTAAATAAGAATTTTAGGGGCTTTTCCCCCTGGATGACTTTCGATATATTTTGAGAAGCTTCTGACTACGCCCACTTTGCTCCCGTCGGGGCCCTCGGCACCACCCTTGTCCGGGAGACATGCTGTGGCAAATCCGAGAATTTGCAATATGGAAGGGGGCAGGCAGGGGCTTCCACAGATGTATGGCCTGCTATATACCACATGTGCACCCCCACCCCCTTATATCACCCTTGTGTTATAACGCGACATGCCATAAATGCCACTGCCTAGTTCACACACAAAAGCGTATCTTACGCCAGCCTTATGCCATTTGTGTAAACATACCTTAAATTAAAAATAACCCCATAAAGAAAAGGGGGTTCAGTTGTCATTTTGATTAAGGGGGTCTGGGTTCTTCCCTGGAAAATTTTGATTTCTAGATGATGGAAAATGAGCTAGGCTTTCCCGACTTCTAATTTTCCCATTGTAATAAAAACAATTTCAGTTCACGGGTCCTTAAAAGGTAGGTCTAGAATTTTTTTTTAAATTAAAATTTTTTATCCCCCACCCTCTCAAATCCGCCAATGCTTTAATGATGCAGAAATCATGGGCTCATGTCAGATATTGTCCTGAAATCATATTTATTTTTTAAACCATTAAATGTAGTTCGAATTTTTCACTGTTTCCAGAATTTTTCAAGAACCTGATGACCCCCTATTTTGCACACCACATGCAAACAGTACAGACGTTGACCATCTGGATGGCATTAAGAAACGCAACAGCCACGTATCAAGCCCTGAACCTGATGTCGCCATGATTTTCAAGAAGACAGAAGGAGAAGAAATTGATGTTAATACCTTAGAAACAAATTTAAGAGAATTAATTACCAATGTAAGTTTATTTGATGAAATAATTTCCAATGGATATTATATAATTTAGGTGCATCATAAATTGCAATGAAAATTGTTGATAATATTGTGGCATGGTAGGTACCAGTTTTTTTTTTTTTATTAAATCAGTATATAATCTTTCTTGTTTGGCCTTCAAATTTTTATTGTGTTTCTTTGTGTGCATATAGACCAGGTTTGTAAACTTGAAGACTGTGCACATGATTGATTTACTGGATAAATCTTAAGCACCCTTCTATCCAACATTTAAGATTTGGTGCATAATCTAATGGAAATTCCCTAGAATGTCAATTTGGTCCAGAGATCTGGATGGGGGGAGGGGGGATGGTGTGAGGGCGATGTCTTTGCTAGCATGTGTGTGAACTCTCATAGTAATCACAGCCTTCACAGAAGTTTGGCTGTAAAGTGGTAATAAATGGGAAATAATTGAATATCTAAATAATTAAGATTATTTTTAAAGTATTATTATGAGTGTTCTAAAATCCCTTTTCTTCTCAGCTTTGGTAGGCCTACTGGTCAGGGCTTGCTCAGAAATGAGGTTTCCGCTAAACTATAGAAACCAGCAGATTGCCTGTATTCTAATCTCCACCGCTACTTATCAATCATTGATTGAATAAATGTGATTTATGAAATATAATTCCTAATGTATTATTCAAATATTTAGGAAAATATACATGATTATTTTTGATAATACAGGGATTGTTTTTTTCTTCTTTACAGAATCCTGAATCCCTCTCTGTTTTAAACCAAGTAGGAAACTTCTGGCGTATAAAGGGAAATACTCGTCTTGCAATAGAATGCTTCCGGAAGGCACTTTATGTTTCACCACATAACCCAGATATTCTTTTAAATTTGGCACGTGTGTTTTACAATCTTAACTATCTAAATTCATCGTGGGTGATAGCACAACAGTCTTTGGAACTTAAGTCGTGTAAAGGGCCGGACCGTAACGCCTGGTTGCAGCACTATACTCTAGGTGAAATTCACAAGGCAATGGGTAATGTCAGTGAAGCATCGGACCATTTTCGTCATGCTTTGGAACTGAATCCTGGATTACACCAAGCAGAACTACATTTGCGGCAAATGGACGAACCGATTCTTGTAAATGTTACAGTTTACACAATTGTTATCATCTTGGTTATGATGATTGGAGTGTGTGTTGGGCTGTACATCACTGCGAGTAAAGGAAAGTCTGCAAGTCGTGGATTGCCATTGCAGGCAGCAAATGGAGACATGACGTAAATCCAGGAAAGTGCATCAGCAATGTAATGGAGGATTGTGTGTACCATCTCATCAGGAAATTGTTTTAATATTTTATTGTTTTGGAAAATATTTCACCATGGCACTGTTTTGCACCATACTACCAAAAAAGCAAAAAAACAGTGAGTTTTAGATCAAAGATGATGAGGAATCTCAGAGGGTTTGACATCACTTTGAATCCACTATTGCAGAAAGTGGTCTTCGGACCAATCAGAAACTTCAATTAGTTCCATCTAGCTAGCATGCTGGCTATACTCTGATGCATTAATAGCACTTCTTTATCTGCTATTTTTCTTTTCGCAAAATCTAAATGAAACAGTATTCATACTGTTTCACAGGTTGTGTCATACCTGTATGTGATAGATAATTAGCATATCATGACTCAGATTCCTCGTAATCTCAGATCTTCACCGCCCAGAAATTTTGGTGCCTCTTGTCAAAATTTCAGTGCATAATAATGTTATGTGCTACTCGCTTATCTAGTCTGTTATGTGCCCCCCCCCTCTTTTAGAAAATTCTGCATCCGCCCACTCATCAAATCAAATCAAATATACTTTTATTTTCCATACAATAAAGTAGTACAATATACAATAAGAATGCAAAATTGAAACAAATACATTGTATGGAAGGAGGCTACTGTAAGTTCAACAAGAGCTTTAAGACGTAGCCACCTTTAAAAAAAGTTGGAAAAAAATGACCGGTACCATTGTTTAGTTTTATCTGAAATAATAGAATCATAGAAATGATATACCAATAAAATTATAATAATTCCAATCCAGCTCATCAAACCCTTCATGATTCCTCACAAGGACTATTCAGTGATGTAACAAGGACGCCCAATTAGGCACCTGGCTAAAGCTTCTACTTAGGAGCTGTGATGTAGAACCCAGTTGAGTACAGGGCAAAGCCTGCCCGTTACAGTGTTTTTGATTTTTTAAGTGCTTATTTTTTATTTTCGATAATTTATTTTTCACGTTTTTGTTACCAGGCCTTATGATGGTTCGTAGTAATGCATTGGGCGAGACTTTTTAATACCTTGTTTTAATAGGAAACTTATTTTTAACTGGTTGTCAGAAGAGGGTGGGAAAACAAATACAAATATAATTTTGTTTTCTGATTTAGCGAAATGATTTTGCCAAAGCATCTCTGCTGAGGAGAAAATAAAAATAAAATTTTATTGATGTATGTAAACAGTGTAGCGTATTAATGAGATTGATAAATGCTTTAAATTTATAATAATTAAGGAAGAAAAAGATTTTTAGATTTTTTTTTTTGAGTGGCGAGCGTAACATTTCTTTTTTTTCGGAAACTTCCATGTTTTTTGGGGGCAAAGGCTCTGCTAACTAGTCAAAAATAAAATTATATTTTTATACGAAATCACCATTATTGGTAGTCAGGGGTTCCCTAAATAAGGTATAAAAAAGTCTCGCCTTGGCCCAAAAGTAAATGCTATTACTAGATTACATTTAGCCCCTCACTTCTCTTGGATTCTAATGCAGCCATTATAATTTCAATAATTTTTACTTACAATATAATGTTTATACCATGATTACAGTTGTGGTCCACCGATTCCATATTTAAACCAATTGTTTTAATTTATTTTGTTCTGTTTTAAATTATGCAATACAGTGTATTTGTATTTGGTTCATGATGATGTTGATGATGTTTTCTATGATGTAATTTAGAAAGAATAGTGATAGCCTCTCCTCCACACAGAAGTGAGTAAATTAATTAAATTAACACCAAGGTTTTCTGTGTTTCACTTTAAAGAGGTTTTACTCAGCTGTTTCAGCAGGATTTACAGATTCAAGTCTTGATTTCTGAGAACAGTATGTTTTTATGTTTCATTAAATATAAAGTTATAAGATTAAGTCATTTATTGTGTCTTAGCACTATTTTTGAGTATGATAGAGTATATATTTTAATTTGTAGGAGTGGGAAGAGGTTCAGGCCTCTCCGATTGCATCGGGGACAACTAGGTATTTTACTGCAATGAAATCATTAGTGATAGCAAGTGATTTTACAAGACACTCTTTTGTCTGCTATTGATACATTCACAAGTAAAATTCGTTTTCCTAATGCTTATACAAAGGTCAGTACAAAAGACAAAAATAAATATATAAATATATATGTAAATATAAGCGAAAATAAAACGATTGCATACGTTGACATAATAGAGACATGAAATTTCTTCAACACAAATATTTCTGACACGTCTGTGTCCTTCCTCATCGCAAGTCGTATAATTTATTTTATCTTTGTTTACGCTTATATTTATACATTTCTGTGAGACATACATGGATCCTACATCAGATACTATTATATATATATAGACTAGAAGGCTAAAAAGAGACCTTCCTATATCTGAGTTTCAAAACAAACTCAAGATTATTGCCAAGGATTGCCTTAAGCTTTCCAAGGAACTTTCCCTGAGGAGACAACACAAATTTGGTCGAGACAAGATCACTTCAACACAAGTGATCCAACCTTCGCACAATGTTTGGCTTTCACGTAAACCTAGAAGGTTCATTCGGCGCTTTAGTGATAATCCGTGCAACACCACGGATTCAGTTGTTCAAATTA